CTATTTTAGGGGGGCTCCAGCCCCCCTAAAATAGGCCTAGTGACACCACAGGTTTTTACCATTAACATGTCTTTGTAGGACGGACAATAAAGGCTGTTTCTATTTCTATTCTATGTTTAACTTAAAAGAAGTCAGTAATTACAGTAGAAAACCAGGGCTTTGGGCTTAAGAGATGAATATACCAAGTGGCGGGCCGAACTTTGGTCACTCGTGGGCCGGATGTGGCCCGCGGGCCGCCAGTTAAAAAGCCCTGGTTTAGTTGAAAATTTATTGCTTCACAGATTTTAACGGACCGGTACTGTAATGTTTTGTTCTGACCATAATGAAACAAACTCTTATTTTGAAATACCGAGTTGCTGGAACCGGAGGCACCGCCATGGTTTTACTGTCAGTCAGAGTTAAGAACACAGAGAAGTACCGGTGTTTTCTGGAGGATGAATAAAACATTTTATCCACAAACCAGCAGCAGGTACAACAAAAATCCATAAGGATCAATAAAAACCCTAAATAAAGAATCCACTGCTGGTCCAGGAAACAGCGCCCCCTTCATTTCCGGAGTTCTATGTCCATAWATGGTTTGGGTCTGACCCTGACCCAGCGAGGTGTATTTGCTTTCCTCCACAYATCATGCCGATACCACAAAGATAAGATCTGTTAACGGATGTTTTGTTCTGGTCCAGGTTCCCTTCACCACCATGCTGGCTCTCCTCTGCATGTGGTTCGGGATCTCCATGCCGCTCGTCTACCTGGGTTATTACTTCGGCTTCCGTAAGCAGCCCTACGACAACCCGGTGCGCACCAACCAGATCCCCCGGCAGGTCCCGGAGCAGCGCTGGTACATGAACAAGTTCGTGGGGTGAGTGTAGTTTTTCTCCTCACATCTGTTTGTTTCGGACCTCTTGAGTCTGAGTTTCCTCCCGTCGCTCCAGAATCCTCATGGCCGGGATCTTACCGTTCGGCGCCATGTTCATCGAGCTCTTCTTCATCTTCAGCGTAAGTCACCGCCCGCGCCTTTTTTTTTTTTTTTTACACGAACGCTCTGAGGGTTGAGATGTGACGTTTATGTTGTGGCCGCCCACAGGCCATCTGGGAGAACCAGTTCTACTACCTGTTCGGCTTCCTGTTCCTGGTCTTCATCATCCTGGTGGTGTCCTGCTCTCAGATCAGCATTGTCATGGTTTATTTCCAGCTCTGCGCCGAGGTGAGGCCGGAGCAGCTCCACACGCCCGTCTCTTCGTGTTTTAAAGCTTGGCGTTAAAAGATGTTTCTCTGCAGGATTACCGGTGGTGGTGGAGAACGTTCCTGGTGTCAGGAGGTTCTGCGTTCTACGTTCTCATCTACGCCGTCTTCTACTTCATCAACAAGGTGAGAAAATCCTCTCTTCTTTAGGAAACTGCAGATTATTATTGTTGGCTCTTAATTTGAAAAACTTCCTTCCTGTTGGATGTTTTGAAGTGAGGTTCTGTAGAAGGGTTGTGAACAGTTAGTATCTTACCTGCTGCAGATGGCTCCTCTAATGATTTCAGTTTTGAGAAACTGTTTAATTCTGATAGGARTGATGAGCTAACGGCTAGTCCTACTGTGACCAAAACCAAAAAGTCTGACACGTTAAAGAATTTCAAAGCATTTTATAGCAGATAAACCAGTAAAAATGTGACTTTTCAGTCGATGTTGCTTTGAATTTACCCTATGTGTGTGTATGTGTGTGTATGTGTGTGTATGTYTGTGRYTGTYTYTGRYTGTGTATGTATMTGTATGTATMTGTATGTATTTGTATGTATGTGTATGTATTTGTATGTATGTGTATGTATTTGTATGTATGTGTATGTATTTGTATGTGTGTAAATGTAAGGATGTATGTGTGTCTGTATGGATGTGTGTGTAAATGTGTGTATATATGGATGTATTTGTATGTGTGTATATGGATGTATGTATTTGTATGTGTGTGTGTGTAGGATTCTGGGGTCCAGGTGTGTTGTCCCTGGTCCTGTTTGTGGACAGTGAGGACAGGTGGATGTGTCCCTGCAGGGACCAGGAGTCTCTTTTATAAAAGATTTTATGGAAACAAACTAAAACTAAAACTAAACGTACGGCCAAAAGATGAAAATGGCGTACACCAAAAAAAAAGTCAGATTTATAAAACGGTGCGTTCGCACGTTTCACCACATTTTCCCTTCATAGATCACAGCTGTGCCTCATGGTTTGTGTACATGGTCCCACCTCAGGTTGTAGCCTCTACACACACACACACACAATCAGAGCTGTGAGGCACATTTTCACGTCAAGTTTTGATTTTATAAATCACAACCTCGGTGTAAAAAGTGGCGTACGCAGGTTTTATAAATCTGAGCCCTGAAGAGGAAACAGCTGAAAGATTTTAAATCTTCARGATGAAGTCGTTTAAAACCAGTAAAACTAAATTCAGGTCATAAACACTGAAGCCTGACCGACTGTCTSTGTCCCCTCAGCTGGACATCGTGGAGTTCATCCCGTCTCTCCTGTACTTCGGTTACACCACCCTGATGGTTCTGACCTTCTGGCTGCTCACAGGAACCATCGGCTTCTACGCCGCCTACATGTTCATCAGGAAGATCTACGCCGCCGTGAAGATCGACTGATCCTCAGATCCTCTGCAGTTTGTTTTTTCACCCTTTATTTTTTAATTTTTTTCTTTCTGTCGAGCACTGACTTTGTGCAGAAGGAGCRGGAGTGGGTCAGTTGGTATTTGTGGTGCGACAGCGCCACCTGCTGGCCACACGGTGGAACAGCCGTCTCTTTCCTCCGGTCGGACAAAGACTCGTGGGACAGTTTGTCTTCTGCCGTCTCACCTTCAAACAGTCAGCGGGCCAAAGCTTGTCAGACACTTTCTGCACCTTTTTTTTCATTCGTGTTTAAATCTGAGCTTGGTTTTCAGTTTTGTTACGACAGGATTTATTTCTTCTGGTTTCCTCTTTTTTTATTTTATTTTGTTCTCTTTTGACGGATCAGGGTGGAATTTAAGGTCCGAGTGACAGAAATTATGAGTCTGACTGTAACACAAAACCATTAAATGTTTTTTTTTTAAGTCCTGGTGTGGCTGTCTTACCCACAACAAGCAAAAGGTTGTCTTTGTGACGGGACTGAAGTTCAACTCCTCCCTCAGCTGCTGCAGGACTAAAGACTTGGAGGACCAACAGGTCTAAGGCCCGTTAGCGGCGGCGGTTTAGCCTGCAGAACTATGCAGTGATGGAAAAWTTTTTTTTAACATCAATCAGCTGTTTGTTTTTCTGGATCTCGTAAAAGAAAAGTATAAAATGTTTCTGTGTTTTTTCTTTTTAAAGTCATCTAACATCACTTCTGTTTCTGTTTGATTTAAAACCCGAACGACTCGACTTGTTTTGTACCAAACGTTCAGTCGTTTTTACGTTTTCACCCCTCTGCAGTCGATGGGTTTTATTTCTATAAAACGGTCCCAACAGAACAAATTTAGATCCCAATAAAAAGAAACTGAAGGGCTTTCCAAGAGCGAGTAAAGTATTTTACTCAACTTTACKTAGATGTACACTAATCCTGTTAGTAAAACTTACTGTGGGTTAAATAATGCAGTATAAAATATAAAAAAGGTCAAACACAAAAGTCTCAACTGTAACACTGACCATGATTAAAGGGACYGTTCTGATCTTTTTCTGTAAAACATACGCAGCAAGTATCCTACCTGCTGCAGATGGCTCTTTGATCGGTCTCACTTTGAGGAGCRAACGGCTAGTCCGAGTCCAGGCCCAAACCAAAGTGGACCGGTGTCGTTCAGAAACAACTAAACTGCACTACGGTTCAACTGAACCATTATTTTTTTAAAGAACGTGTCGCCTGCTTCCCATAACTAATCCAACTGGAAGTGTTACAGCTAGCTGCTGCTGCAGTTAACCACTGAATGCTATGTAAATATTCATGTAAAGTTCTAAAAAAAAATTACATTTCTGTTTTGAATGGCATCGACGTGAATTTGTTCAGATTAGCTGTTAGCTTGTCGACCTGTCGGCCATCTTTAACAGGTATATGTATAATCTTTCTACTTTAAAATAGCCGAACTGTTCCTTTAAACAGGTTTTATTGCTGTTTCATGATATCTGAACTGAGCCGGATGAGTTTTATATTTGTGCTAAGCTAACGGCTAACTGTAGCTTTTCTAACATTTTCATGTTAAAATCCCAAAATACTGATCTGTTGTTGCTGGTTTCTGTTGGTTGAAAGAAAAACGATCAAAGAATCTGAGATTTGTTTTATTAAAATATAGAAATAATTTGCATTTCCTTTTAAGGTTTTTTTTTAGCCACAAATCTGTAAAATTAGCCGCTGTAGCAAAACATCACTTCTCAGACGTTGATCCACATTTTCAACCTTATAAATCCGTCGCGTTGATTTATTTTTGTGATTAAATTATTTTATTTTTTCACTGACTGCACAGAGAAGAGACCGACCCCCATCGGGTTCAGAGACGTCAGAATAATCCGAGGAGAAATTTTTACCTTTTTTGTTTTTAGATTCTGGGGTTTTATGTACAGTGGAGGGGGGGTTCCTTGTAAATAAATAAAAAACAAAACAAAACAAACAGCTTCATATTTGTGGCGTTTCGCTGTCCGGTGGCGCACTCCGTAACGAAAAGCATGACGCTCACCAGGAGTTTTRACAGGAACTCGTTTAGTTTTACGTCGTCTTTTTTTTCTTTTCCGGAATGTTCGATGACAAAATGTACAACCATGAAACAATAAAGTGAAGAGTTGAATATGAAAACCAGACTTTGAAATTTCTGAATCTCTAAAAACCGGTGTGAACGAAGGGGGTACCAGTGAGGGGGGCCACAAAGTATTTTCAGGTTGCCCCCCCGGGCCTRCCCCTGRTGGCACCCCTGCTATGAAGTCCAAATGTCGAAGTTTTTAATGTGGGCAGGAAATAAAAACACAAGCAAAAGTTTGTGTTTTTGTTTTATTTCCTGCCAACATTAAAAACATTTGAATAAACTGAACAGGTTTTTGTTTCTCCCCTGATGGGACCAGTATGGGTTSGCTCCACTGTGGATCTTTGGGATGTGCTGGAGAAGGTCAGACTCGACCATCATAATGAAAGATCTTATTGAAAAGTTAAAACTCTGGATGGAATTAAATCTGGTGACGCTGCAGGAGTTTATCCAAACAGACCAGGGGTGGGCAATCCTGGTCCCAGGGGTGGGCAATCCTGGTCCTGGGGGGCCGCAGCCCT